CCCCTTTGTTTTTGGGTTTTTCTATTGACCCTAATTAATTCTTAGAAGTTCAAGGTGTCAGAACACAAAAACAAAGAAATTTAGAAGCTTTGAGTGAAGAAGGAAGACAATTTCATCATTGTTTGGCTCAAAGAGCCTTGGAAATGGTGAGGGAGTGAGCTCAAGTTTCTTAGAATAGTCATCTGGTGCTGGATGGATTTTGTGGGAGCTGTGCTTCAAAGGGGAAAAACAACGAAAATTAATTGCTGCTATTGTTTTGATCACAGAAGAAGACAACACCAATGCAAACAAACAGAAACAGAGGGAAAAACTTCAAGCATGGCTTCTAGTTCTACCTGCTTCCAAACCTCCCCAATCATTCCCATTTTTGTATCCTTTCTTCTTGTTTCTTCTTCCATTTGTCCTGTCCTTTCGTCCGAATCCGGCAACCCCCATGCAACCAATCAAACTTTCCGGCCAGAACAAGAGTTGCAGAAGTTAAGGATAATCAGACAACGTCTCAAGAAGATCAACAAGCCCGCCGTCAAGACAATTCAGGCAAACTTTCCTTGGATTCAGCCATCCCCTGTTTTTGCTCTGTTTTTATACTCTGTTTTGAACTATTTCTTTTTCCTCTGTTTTTGCAGAGTCCAGATGGAGACATTATAGATTGTGTCTTATACCATCAGCAACCAGCCTTTGATCATCCTATATTAAGAGGCCAAAAACCAATGGTAAAAGAAACGTCTTTTTTTCTGGTCCTGTAATGGGCATAAACATGGGAATTAATCTTTCAGTTTCAGACATTTATTTTTTTCCCTGTTCTTGAATTGGCAGGATCCACCTGAGAGACCAAATGGTCATAACATAAATGAAATGGTGGCTGTAGATTTTCAGTTATGGAGTCTTTCCAGGGAATCCTGTCCGGAAGGAACAATTCCCATCAGAAGAACAACAGAACAAGACATGTTACGAGCTAGTTCATTATCAAGATTTGGAAGAAAACCAAGAAGACATGTGAGGAAAGACTTCAGTAGTGACCATGAGGTAAATAGTTGCTTGTTCTTCCAAAAATGAAAAACAGAAAATAATCCTGCAATTCTTTCATTTTCCTTTTCCTTCTTCTTTTTTATTTTTCCCTAAAAATTTCAAAAAGAATTAGTCAAAGTAAACAGCAGAACAAAGGCTTGATAATTGTCTCACTTCTTTATGATTTTCCTTTTTTGTTCTTTTTTACATAGATAAATAAGCCATTGAAAAAGAGTGAGGATACAAAAAACTGCTTTTTCAAATTTTATAACAATTTTTTAATCTGAGTTATCTTCTTTCCCTTTCATTGTGTTTTGTCTTCATCCAAATTTGAACTACACAGCTTTCTGGTTTTGAACAGAAAAGAAACCATTCTTCTTGGGCAAAAGAACATCAGTTCAGGAGCATATTTTATTCAGACAGAAAAAAAGAAAAGAAAATAACCAAAACAACGCGAGGTGTTTAATAACAGAGTTCGTTTTAGCAGAAAAATAGAATCCTGGTAGTTGGGTGTCCTTCAATTCACCCTTTGAAACACTGTAGGAGTCCTATTTTTATTAAGGAATTCCATGGTTTTCTAATTCTTTGCTTATGTTGTAATTTTTCACTTTTTTGGATTTTGGTACAATATTATTCTGGTTAAAAACATGTTATCTATGCTAAACTTAATAAGACTTGGGAAATTATCTTCTTCATTGGTCTGTTGAAATTTTTTGATTTTTTGATTTTTTGATTTTTTTTTTTTTTTTTTGGGTTACAGCATGCAGTTGGGTATGTTACAGGAGAGCAATACTATGGAGCGAAAGCAAGCATGAATGTGTGGGCACCAAGGGTTGCAAATCAATATGAATTCAGCCTATCACAAATGTGGGTAATCTCCGGTTCATTTGGTGGCGATCTAAACACCATTGAAGCTGGTTGGCAGGCATGTCTTTCACTTCGTTTTTTCGTTTTCAATTTTAATTCATTTAGATTTTATTTAGTATGGTTGTTGCGAGTAAGGAAGTTGAACCTTCGACTTAAGATTATATTATTGCAAATAATTTGTTTTCACATTTAAGGCAGCAAATAGTCTCAACTACCTCTCATTTTCATAGTGAAATCAAGGTTGCTGATTAAATTCATTTAATTTTGGCCGCAGGTTAGTCCGGAGCTGTATGGGGACAACTACCCTAGGTTCTTTACATATTGGACGGTGAGTATACTAATTTCCTTTTTCCTATGTGTCAAACTTTATTTGATACATTCATTCCCAACCCAATCTTAAAGCAAAAGTATAAGATAATCATGGTATGAAATCATTGTGCAGAACGACGCGTACCAGGCCACGGGATGCTATAATTTGTTATGTTCTGGATTTGTACAGACCAACAATAGAATTGCAATAGGAGCAGCAATATCTCCAACATCATCATACAATGGGGGACAATTTGATATCAGTTTACTTGTTTGGAAGGTAAATTTTACTAATCAATTACCTCTCAATTTTTCAAATATAGCACTTTTTCTTTTCTTTTTTTAATCAAACAAAGCACAAATTAAGTAGTACAACAATTGAAGCATGAGAAACACTTTCAATTAAATGTCGAGTTATGCAACATGAGATATATTTATTTTCCTTTTTATTTCATGACTCGAAACCAAAATTGGGGGAAGAAAAAAAGCTTGGAGGGCCATATTATACAGTTACAAAGTTGGAGGCCTTTGATTTTAATGTTGACCCAAATGAGGTTTAGTTTAGTCTGAAAAAGGATTGGACATACGTAGTCTGCAAGATTGCGTCTGCGACGCTGGACCATCAGATCTGAATACTTTTTCTTGGACCCATGAAAGTTCATGGAAAAGGACTTGATCTGACCGTCAACGGTGGACCCTTATAAAAATTAAGAAAATTCACATTAAAATGATTAAAGATCAACGTTAATTATGGAGCTTAGGGCACATAAACCTTATAATTACTTACAACTTTATGCCGAAGCCCTTAAAACATGCACTAGACACATGCACTAGTGATTTCTGTTACTTTTTTTCTTTCTGCTTTGCAAGATTCTCTTTTTTCCCTTATGCCTAGACCCCTCCATTATGGCTGTAATCAAGCCGAATCGAGTTCGTGTAACTCCCCAATAGCTCAATTCAATTACAAACCTATCCTTCACTCTTTTTATTCCCCTTTTTGAAAGAATTTTTTTTATTCACCATAACTTCACAAACTAAAAGAACATCTATTTTAATTGGCAATTATATATTTATTTTATCGCTTTATCTATTAAATTAAGAAAGAGAATATTCTAAAATTACATTTAATTTATGCTACTAAAGTAAGGTATTTTAATATTTTTAATAAAAATTTATTGAAACAACGTAATATTGAGATAATAATTTTTTTCATAATTTTTTAAAAATAAAACAAATGAACAATTTTCTTATATACTTATACTACGAAGTAGAATAGTAAATTTATAATTATAATATACCATTAAAGTTATAAATATACATGAATAAAATAGTCATGCATATATCATGTGAGTTTGTAAATAACTAAATATATCATTTTTGAATTTTAATTTTGTTAGTTAATGCAAGATCCATGATAAGTGCAAATTAAGAAACTAAACGCTTCAAATTTTTGCATGTTTGTAGGATCCAAAGCATGGAAATTGGTGGCTGGAATTCGGGTCGGGGGTTCTTGTCGGGTACTGGCCCTCATTTCTGTTCACCCACCTGAGGGACCGTGCAAGTATGGTACAATTTGGGGGAGAAATTGTAAATTCAAGAGCAGGAGGATTTCACACTTCAACCCAAATGGGAAGTGGGCATTTTGCTGAAGAAGGCTTCGGAAAGGCCTCATATTTTCGGAATTTGCAAGTAGTTGATTGGGATAATAACTTAATCCCCCTCTCAAATTTACGGGTCACGGCGGATAACCCGAATTGCTATGATATCCAAGGAGGCATTAATAGAGTTTGGGGGAATTATTTTTACTATGGAGGACCCGGAAGAAACGTCAAGTGTCCCTAAAGGGAAAGAAAGTTTTCCTTTTTCTCATTTTGGTCCATTATAAGTTAATATATAGTTTTTTTTTTTTTTTTTAAATGATTGGGTGATTTGGGTTTCTTTGGAGATGGTTCAATGAGTTTGGGGATATTCTTATAATCATTTTTTTTATTTGTAAGTGTTCATTTGGACTAACAGATGATCCAATTGATCATACCATCTTTAGGGGCTTATGTAAATGTTGGAGAAAAAAGAAGGATGAAATTATAGTAGATACAGTGTGTTTGTGATTTTTCTTTCCTTTTTCTCTATTATTTGTTTGTTAAAGATTCTAAAGTATCATTAAGTAAAACACATGGAAAAGAAAAACAGAGCCTTTTATTATTATTATTATTATTATTTATTTATCTTTTGTTTTTAACTCAAGCTCGAATATTGAGGATTTAACAAAGGCTATAATTTAATAATTATTTAAATAATTCAATAATAATTTGTTATAATAAAAAAATCTTAAATTCAAATAATGTAATATATAAATAAAGTGAGTTAAAAAATCTTATATTGTGTTTGTGTAATCTATTATTTATATATATATTAACCTCAATAAAAAAATACGTGACCCAAAAAACTTTAATGGAATAAAATTTCTTACTACAAACTCCTTTCAATAAAAATAAGAATGCTCTTAAATTTAAATAGCATTGCATATAAGGAGTTGTGTTACCTCAATAAAAAAGTACATGACCCAAAAAACTTTAATGGAATAAAATTTCTTACTCCAAACTCCTTTCAATTAAAATAAGAATGCTCTTAAATTTAAATAGCATTGCATATAAGGAGTTGTGTTA